CATATTAAAGAATAAATTGTTATCATGATGAACGCCCAGATCTCTGGTGTCTGTGCATCTAGGCAGGTTTTGACCACCCAGCGTATAGGAAGTATTAAGTGCTATACGTTTTCGAGTATAAGTAATTAAGATCGAGTTTATTTGTCGTGCAGTAACTTTCCAGTCGACAGAGATCAGCCTGAAGTGATATCATGTCTTCAAACGATGATATTGTGGCAAATATTTTCATGTCGTCTGCGAAACACAGAAGGTTTGAAGACTCAAGACAAGAGGCAATGTCATTCACGTATATCACAAATAAAAAGGGCCCAAGTAAAGAGCCTTGGGGTACACCACTAGGCACAGTAATCCAACTTGAAATGTAGTTATTTAGTACCACAGCCTGAGATCTATTGTCTATGTATGATGAGAGCCACCGAAGTAGGTCTCCTCTAATGCCTATATTGCGGAGCTTACGTAACAGTACATCATAATCTATACGATCAATTGCTTTGCTGTAGTCGGTGTATACTACATCTACCTGGTTGCCTCTGTCCATAGCTTCAGTAAGGAAATCATTAAAAAGCGTGAGGTTAGTGACAGTAGATCGCCCTCGCAGAAAACCGTGCTGAAATGGAGTAAAAGACGAAGCTACGGCCGGATATAATTGTTCATGCACAATTTTTTCAAAGACTTTGGCTTTATACTAATCTCCGTAGAGTGGAAACACACGCATTAAAAATAACTGAAAAACAATGGAAAGTAATTGTAGAACAATGCCATCACTTATATTTCCTGATCTGAAATATTAATGAAAGTGTTCTTTTGTTGCTATAATACATTTAGTTAACTTCGACAAACCTGTAGACGAGTTCCCAAGGCGGTATCTTGTCTCTCCTCTCCAGTTGGTACAGCAGCCGGTGCTCCAGGAAGACGAAGGCACTCGGCGGCTGCCACAACAGCGACACACTGTTCTTGCTTCTCTCCACAACGTCCGGCGCTACTGGCTTGCTACTTCTAAACTTTCTCCGCAAAAATTCATCAAAATCCATTAAAAAATTGATGTTTATAGGTTCTTGAAAATTAAAGAAATTTTATTTGCGGCGGAAAGAGTATGAACCGGTGAAATCTTTTATCATATGTTTGAGGTAACCACTGACTACGTCGTTTGATCGATCCTGTTCAACTCGCTTGTTCAGATCGTCTGCGATTTTTGACTGAACTAAAACATCACGATTAGACTTATACAACTACGTTTTTTTTCATTCAAAGACTACAACTACTCTAGTTAAAGATAAATCGAGCAATTTATTTGTTAGTTAAAATATCCACAAATGAGACCGATTTTCAAACATTTACCGAAGCGTGTCGAATCTAGGTTGAATTTGATGATATATGTAGCGGCAGCACAAAGCGCTGTGAGCTGCGAGTTCCGTTCCCACTGAAATATAAACGACATCGATTTAGTTCCCTCAGCTCGTTAATAATTCGCGACCTCAATCCGCGATCAGCTGGCGCCGGGCCAAAGTGCGCGCGGCGCAGGTCTGCCGCTGGGGGAGCCTTCGGAACCTCACTTGTAATTACATTACGACTTTATCTAATTGTACTCTATTATAATTTATTATAAACCAATTTTTATCTATTGAGTTATTTCAGGTGCACAGAAACTTTACAAATATAATGTGGTTACTAAAAAGATGAAATATCGATAAGTATTTATATTGTTAGAAAGTAGTTGGAAGAAGAATTTATATTAATATCTTATAAATGTGATAAAGTTCAATAAAAATATTTTGATAATGTTTTCAATATAAAATGCTCGATGTGTACACTTATGGAATTTACTTTGCTAAGAATGTGATATCGGCGCGAGTCGCGACTCCGCGCGAACGTGCTCGCGTTCACAATGAGCCTTCACTATACAGCCAGAGAATTAAATTCGCTTCCCACTTCGACTATATTAGTTATAATTTAGCAAATATTTATTTTGCTATCCGTGAAGGAGAATGACAATATCGTATACGGGCGCCACGGCAGTGGAAGCCCACCGTTATGAATATTTTCAACCTAATTTCATTATGAGCGTCAAATGATATTCCACCAAGATGGGAAGGAAATAAACGTCCTCGACTGTATACGAATTGATACAGTAACGTAATTCCGAGATATTTTATAAAAAGCTCGTGTGTTTTTTTTTAATAAAATCTTGTTTACAGATTTCAAAATGAATGGATTTTTTTTAATTGTTAGTGTAATTTTCTCCGACCTCTTTTCTTATTTATATCAAGTATTTCATGCCAGAGTATATTGTTAATATAAAAACCTACCAATTATCTCTTATGGGTGAGTCTCCACTATCAGCTGAAATTCACTAAGATAGATATTTATAGATAAAATAACTTGCAGTTTTAATAAGTGTTAAGGAATTCATAAGAAGCCATGTTATAAGTTATGTAAGCGATGAATTCTAGCGATTGCTGGAGAGTGGCGATATTGCCCTCGCCTGGTTCAATATTGCACGAGTCGGTATGATCCCCAAGGAGCAGAATTTACTGGCGCGACTTCACTGCATCACTTTATAGAAGTTTTCATCGATAAAGTGCAACTAAGTACATGTTAACAATAATTATTATTTATAGAATTCATATTACCACTCATATTTTTCATTTTCAATTTATAAAATAATCGCACCGAGGACGTAACACATGAGTTTGGTTAAGTATGAGAATGCTGACAGGAAAAAAATAACATTAATATATTTGTTGGTAGTGGAGACAACGCACCGCGGCGCACACCTGATCACATCTCCCTCACACAACCAAAGCCTTGAGAAAATTACACATGTTAAATATTCATCGCAAGATCGTTATTACAATTTGTAGATGTCACTGTTGTCACTTAGGAAAACGATGAAGAAATGCTGCTAAGGGGATATTAGGTGTGGAGATTTTTGCTTGGGATTTGAAGCATTTGACCCTGTTACGTTTGTCTATAATATAAACAACGCAAAATAGTTTAAAATATCTTGTAATAAATCTACAATATTGTAATACATAAATTTATTTCATAAATAAAAAACATGCTACGCAACACGCGTTCAAGCGGAAAAAGAAAAACTTTTAAAATCGGAAATAGTTCCGAGTGAATATTGTCAGGTATTCGTTGAGTTGCAGTTATGTACTGTATGCAGAGAAACGATTGTATGGTGACATCGCGAGGTATTTTGCCGATGCCGCCTCGTGTCGTGTGACAATATGACATACAGGGGGTGTAGTCGGGCTGGTTGACTGCGTACGTTCCGTTCACCTTTGTATACCGACTGTTTGAAGAAATAAATAAAATAACTTTATATTTATATTTATTGTGAGTACCGAATGCAATGAGCCATACATTGATAAATGCTGTCTCTATTATGTCAAAGAGAAAGAAAGAATTTGTTTTATAAGAGAAACTACAAATGGTACACATTTTGGGTTTTTGAGAAGTTAATTAAAAAGAAGATTAACTGTTTGTAAATACAACGACGGACAAGCACAGCAATGGAGTTACATGTTTATACAAAAATTAAAAAAATAGATTTTATAAAAATGAGAACATCAAATAATAATGAATAGCTGTCAATTATTAGCATATGACGTCACGCCTTTAGCGGCGCACTTCGCGCCCGATCAATTTTGCAGCCGTGTGTTGTCGGCGCAGTATTTATAGTCCTGACGTCTTTATGTCCTCCCGTATGATACATTACATGTTTTTATTAAATACGAAATGATAAATGTATTGTTCTACTTTACTGTTTAATTTTTAATTAAATGTTACACGTACTGGTCTATTGGTAGAATTAAAATGAAAATTATAGCATTTTTTAGATTTTTCTCCTTCAATAAACATTTTGTCCGATGTCTTGTTAATCCAAGCGTGATTAGGACTTTATGAACGATTTAATATTAATACTTGATTGCCCATGAATAAATGTTTAACCATTCATGAGCAGTATATTACGCACTGAACCTTTTAATACAATCCACATTTTTATAACTATTATTTTTTGGATAGCCATTTAAATTGACTTATATTGTATAACTGTCACACTTAAGATAGGCCCTTAGTGTAGATATACAAAATTAGTGGCTTAAGATTGTTGTAGCATTTATATTTGTAGAGATATAAAACATGTTTTTCAACAAATTCAAAATGCTGCGTTAAATCAGTATCGTCATAACTCACGTCACTTCACCCTGTACACTGTTACACATTGTTCAAACAA